TCCTCCTCCTCCTCCACTCCACAAACTTCCTACTTCCTTCTAGCACCGTTGACGTTCCCTAGTTGGGTCATGAGACATCTGCCAGAAAACAACCGAGGTCAGAAAGCACCAAGGACCACCACCACCCCCAGCCCCAAATTCAACCCTGAGCTACAAATAACAATTTATATTGGTATAAGCCACTAAAGGGGAAAAAAATAACAGAAGTGCCTGCAAAAATGTAGGCAAAGTTGTGAGAATTTACTAAAAAATAAATTACAAGAGGTTGCTGAAACAGGGCCGAGGTGGGGTGGGGGGGAGATGAACTGACTTGAGGCTAGAAAAAATTGAGGGATGTTTAGCTTTACCTCCATTTGATGCCTCTCGCTTCCTCTGTAGGGAAAAGGCACGGAAGACACTTACTGGCTGATCGGTCGGGACGGCTTCAGCAAACCCATCCCTACGCCCCCTGACCTGAAGCCAGGGTAATAGAGCTCCTAATTTGTCACTTTATGTGTGTGTGTGTGTGTGTGTGTGTGTGTATGCATATAGATATATACATATACATATATGTGTATGTGTATGTCTCTCTCTTTATCCATTTCTCTCTCTCTCTCTTTATCTATCGCTATCTCTATCTCTACCTCTCTATCTCATCTATCTATATCTATCTATAATATCATTATCTATTTATCTATCTATCATATCACTATCATCTCTCTCTCTATCATATCATTATCTATCTATCATATTACTATCTATCTATCTATCTATCTATCTATCTATCTATCTATCTATCTATCTATCTATCTATCTACCTATCTACCTATCTACCTGTCTACCTACCTGTCTACCTATCTACCTACCTATCATCTATCTATCAATCAATCAATCTATCAATCTATCTATCTGTCTGTCTCTATCTACCTACCTACCTACCTACCTACCTACCCACCATCTATCAACCTACCTACCTACCATCTATCAATCTATCAATCTATCAATCTATCAATCTATCAATCTATCAATCAATCTATCAATCTATCTATCTATCTATCTATCTATCTATCTATCTACCTACCTACCTACCTACCTACCTACCTACCAACCATCTATCTATCAACCTACCTACCTACCATCTATCATCTATCAATCTATCAATCTATCAATCAATCTATCTATCTATCTGTCTGTCTGTCTGTCTGTCTATCTACACACACACACACATATGGTATACACACACACATATATACCCATACACATACATGCATGCGCGCACACACACACACACACATACATACATATGGTACACACACACACACACACATATATACCCATACCCATACATGCATGTACATATACATATGGTACACACACACACACACACACACACACACACACACACAAACATTAATCACAGATCAGAATACATGGAGGAAAAAAGAGCCTTGAGAGTTAACAAGGTTGATACTATATGGCAAGGGTCCCCAACCCCCGGTCCGCAGCATGCCAGCAACTGGTCCACACAAACAAGCAAAGCCCCACCCACGGGATGCAGGCCGCAGACGAAACCACGTAGCTTCCGGTCCGCCGAAAAACCTCTCTCCACGGAACCGGTCCCTGGTGCCCAAAAGGTTGGGGACCTCTGCTATACGGTACAAAGCTATTACAGAATCTAGTTGTTCCGCTTCAGATGCGCAAAGCTTCCTCCTAGAACAGTGTTTTTCTCAACCTTGGCAACTTTACGATGTGTGGACTTCAACTCCCAAAATTCTCCAGCTAGCAACGCTAGCTGGAGAATTCTGGGAGTTGAAGTCCACACATCGTAAAGTTGCCAAGGTTCAGAAACATTGTCCTAGAAGGTAACAAAGCAAACAGGTCATGGAGAGGATGTGTAGCGTCACAGACAATCCTGCAGACCCTGATCAAACATCGCTTATGTGCCAATGTCCTGGATAGAAGGAAGCGGATTTCCAATCAACGTTTCTGCTGTCCTCACCACTCTCTGCACAGCCTTCCTGTCTGAAGCAGTAACCTCCAATTATTTCTGATCTCTGGAAGAGTCAACCTCCCAGCCCTTCACCATCCTGGTCTTGCTTCTTTCTGCTTCAGATCTTACTGAGTTTGCTCTCTCTCCTCCAGGGCAAGCAGCCACGGCATCAGCATGGATGAAGTTCCTGAGGACCGGAGGCAGAAGCTACAGAAAGCTCGTCAGGGACAGAAAATGTAAGCTGGGAAGAAGACCGTTGCATGAAGCCAGTTGTGATGGAGGTGAGACCGTGATGGAATAAATTGTGTGCAAGGGCTGTTTTCATTGATCCTGGCTTCGACGCGGTGGGAGTAATTTAGAGACCCCTCCCCTCCCCTTTCCTTGCCATGAATTATGTTATGTTATGTTATGTTATGTTATGTTATGTTACATATTATTAGCAGGGGGCTGGACTAGAAGACCTCTAAAGTCCCTACCAGTTCTCTTCTCTTCTCTTCTCTTCTCTTCTATTCTATTCTATTCTATTCTATTCTATTCTGTATTTTATTATTCTATTCTATATTCTGTTCTATTCCATTCCATATTTTCTATTCTATTCTATTCTATTCTATTCTATTCTATTCTATTCTATTCTATTCTACTCTACTCTACTCTACTCTACTCTACTCTACTCTACTCTACTCTACTCTACTCTATTCTATTCTATTCTATTCTATTCTATTCTATTCTGTATTTTATTATTCTATTCTATTCTATTCTGTATTTTATTATTCTATTCTATTCTATATTCTGTTCTATTCCATTCCATATTTTCTATTCTATTCTATTCTATTCTATTCTATTCTATTCTATTCTATTCTATTCTATTCTATTCTATTCTATTCTATTCTGTATAATTATATTCAGTCCATCTTGAATACATAGCATAATAGAGGGTCAAGAGTTAACAAGGTTTTTTTTTCATTTTTCTGCAAAAAATAAAATAAAATAAAATCCATAAGAAGTTCCCCTGCCTCTTCTCTGACCCACGCCTCATCTCCTTCTCCTCCTTCTCCTGTCCCTCAAGGAAGCTCTCAAGAACTTCAGAGGCTGGAAGATGTCAGACTGGGCAAGGTTAATATGAAACATCGAGACACTGAACATCAGAAAGACTTTTTTTTTCATAACTTCATCACTCTTTTTTTTTTTTCACTAGGTCAACCAATTCCCAGATCTGTGGCTGGCCACTGCTCGTGTTTCCTGTTGATGGCCTTTGGGCCAATCTGCTAGAAGAGGCCGATGGCAGGGAGCCATCCCATAATAACCCAAAGGGATGCATCCCTTTCCCTCCGTATCTTCTGCTACTTTCAAACTTCTAGTGCGTGATGGAACTGTGGTCGGTCTAGGACTTCTTTCTCACCCACTGTGATCAACGGTGAGATGCAGGCTGGGATTTTTGGCCAACTAGGTCTTCAACATTTGAACACTTTAAATCAGGGCCAAGGACCTGGTGGGACTTTGGCCAAGCCAGGAATGGCAGTTGCTCTTGACTTCCGTTGGGGACTTGGCTAGCTTTTGACAAGGATGGACGCCTGGATTCCATAACATTAATTATTTCCTTAGCAAAGAGGACAGGATGTGGAGAGGAATGGCTAACAAAGGGAAGACCATGATTTCAGAGAAATCGCGGAGAGATAATCCAGCTGGAACTGGAATTTGGGTGGCTTTGTGGACACCACACCACACCACACCACACCAAGGGACCTTCAAGGAGAGTATGTTGATAGCCTTCTGATTTTCTAGAAGAAACCAAATCCATCCAGAGGTGAAGCTGGGATGGCCCTTGGAGACTGTACAGCGAGAATGAGACAATATTCACGGACCCACCAACGAAGGTGGGACTTCAGCTCCATTAGATATCGGTGTGGCCTCGAAGGAATGTTTGTGACAATTTATATAAAAAAGGGCTTTCTTCTTAAAGAATTCATTTCCTCTTCTGAGCCAGGAGTCTGAATTTAATTTAATTTATCTCCACCTCAAAAACAGCGGTAGAGATGACAATTTAAAATAGAGAAGTAGGAAGGGACCACGTTCAGCTATTCTATGATCCAACTTTTAGCTATTTTGAGGAGGAACAGGAAAAAAAATTGTATTAAACCTTGTGTATTTTTTTAATCTACTTGAGGGCGATCGGCAAGGATGGATTTGGGGAAACGAGTTTCCTCAAAACTTCCTTCTGGAAAATAATTATGTTTAAATACAGCATCTTGAAGAAACCGGTCATTATTAAGCAGCGTTTCTCCATTTTGGTAACTTTAAGCAGTGTGGACTTCAACTCCCAGAATCCCCTAGCCCAGGGATAGGCAACCTTGGCTCGTTTATGACTGGTGGACTTCAACTCCCAGAATTCCTGAGCCAGCATGGGGGAACTATGCCCCCCTCATGACTCGTGGACTTCAACTCCCAGAATTCCTGAGCCAGCATGGGGGAACTATGGCCCCCTCATGACTCCTGGACTTCAACTCCCAGAATTCCTGAGCCAGCAAGGCTCAGCTTGGAAACCTCTCCCTTTCCCCTCAGTGTGGCTGGCTCAGGAATTCTGGGAGTTGAAGTCCATGAGTCATAAAGGAAACCGTAGTTCCCCCATACTGGCTGAGGAATTCTGGGAGTTGAAGTCCACGAGTCATAAAACAGCCAAAGGTTGCCTACCCCTGCCCTAGCCAGCCATGTTGGCTGGGGGATTCTGGGAGTTGAAGTCCACTCGACTTAAAGTTACCAAAATGGAGAAACACGGTTGTATACCATCCGAGCAGGCATCATAGATACACTCAGCCTTTTCCAACATTTCTGCATGACTTTGAATTTTCAAGATTGTAACCCGGTTCTCGCGGCAATTTTTGAATCCAGCACTTTAAGATGTGTGGATTTCAGCTCCCAGAATTCTGCGAGAGGAGGGGAAAAAACCACTCGGTCACAACTAAGGAGAAAACCAGAATATTATCTTTATGTAAACCGCTACAAAACCACCTTAAATTTAACTATTTGGAGTCTCCAGATTAGATCCGTAGTTTCAGAGTTACAGTTAAAACAATCCCACGTCTGAACTGGTTTCCTACAGGGCCGTCTAAACGTAAGATACAGATATATAAGATTGTATTTTCTTGATGAGAGAAAAAAGGAACCTAGCAAATATTTTGCTAACAGGAACAGTCTCCTCTTTTTCTACGGGCCCGGCTTCAGAATCTCGAATATTTTTGTGCGGATCCTCTGTGTAAAAATGTTCGTTTTCGTAAACGTCATTCGTGGGTTTGGTCTGTTTCATTGACTTAAAAATATATTTTGCGAATCTGCTGTGCTGTGGTTGGGATTGCTTTCTGTTGGAGGAGACAGAGTGGACCGTGGCAGGGTTGGGGGCAAGGCTGGAGGCGGGTACGTGTGTGAAGGGGTGTATAAAAGATCAGATGGATTGTATGGAGATCCTAGTAGACGCCCTTCAACTGCCGATGTCAAAAAGCTAATGCCAAATGCCAGACAAGCTAATAGTAAACAACCCAACGAAAGAAACGCCAAGGCCACTCTCACCAAAACGGACAGGGCAAGCCAGTAGAATATAAACTCAGAGCAAAACCCACTCCTTACTCACACTGATGATGTTACCTAGTTGGGTCATGAAACATCTGCAAGAAAACAACCAAGGACCTCACAGTTGTCATCCTCCTCCTCCTCCTCCTCCTCCTCCTCCTCCTCCTCCTGTCTGAGATGGTATAGGTTCTCCTGCTTGAGCAGAAGACCTCCAAGGTCCCCTTCAGCCTCTACTCTACTCTACTCTACTCTACTCTACTCTACTCTACTCTACTCTACTCTACTCTACTCTACTCTATTTTCTATTCTATTCTATTCTATTCTATTCTATTCTATTCTATTCTATTCTATTCTATTCTATTCTATTCTATTCCTTATTTCTATTATATACTCTATTCTACTCTACTCCACTCTACTCTATTCCTTATTTCTACTCTACTCTACTCTACTCTACTCTACTCTACTCTACTCTACTCTACTCTACTCTACTCTACTCTATTCTATTCTATTCCTTATTTCTATTCTATACTCTACTCTACTCTATTCCTTATTTCTACTCTACTCTACTCTACTCTACTCTACTCTACTCTACTCTACTCTTCTCTACTCTACTCTACTCTACTCTACTCTACTCTACTCTATTCTATTCTATTCTATTCTATTCTATTCCTTATTTCTATTCTATACTCTATTCCTTATTTCTACTCTACTCTACTCTACTCTACTCTACTCTATTCTATTATACTTTATATTCTATTCTATTCTATTCTATTCTATTCTATTCTATTCTATTCTATTCTATTCTATTGTCTTATTTAGGAACTGAGGCTTGAGGAAAGTTGCAAATGGACACTAGAGGGAGCCAAAACACCAGCAGTAAAGAATTAAAATGGCTAAGCCAGCCCAGAAGGGGAGACCTCTCTACATCAAACTCTCTGTGGTCAACTCACCACGGGACCAACTCCTCGTGGGATAACTTGCCACAGGACAATTTAACAATTCTCTTTAATTATTTAAAATCATTTTAATTTTTGTCATTCCCATTTCATTTTGTTCCTCCTGTGCCATCCTTTCTTTAATGATCCGATCCCACCGTTTCTTCAGTATTAGTGTAAAGTGTTGTTTACATGGGCTGAAACATTAATAATTATTCTACCAGAAAGGATACAGATTTAACCTCTTGATGGATATTAGAGATCCTCACAACGGCAAGCTTAATTTGACGTCTGGTGAGTTTTATCTTTTTTTTTTGATTTAAGAAATTTTAAATAGTGTCTCAAAAATCTAAAATAATAGACAATGGGCAAAAAGCAGGGGGGAAAGGATAAACTTTTAGCTTAATTTGACATGTTGAGTTTTACCTTTTTTGGGATTTTAAGAAATTTTAAATAGTGTCTCACAAATATAAAATAATAGACAATAGGATTTGGGTTTGGCTAGTCTAAAGAAAAGAAGAAACAGCGGAGACATGATAGTAGAGTTCCAGTATTTGAGGGGCTGCCACAAAGAAGAGGGGGGTCATATTCATCAAAGCACCTGAGGGTAGGACGAGAAACAATGGTTGGAAACTGATCAAGGAGAGAAGCAACCTGGAATTAAGGAGAAACTTCCTGACAGTGAGGACAATCAACCAGTGGAACAGTTTGCCACCAGAAATTGTGAGCGCTGGAGATTTTTAAGAAGAGACGGGACAGTCATTTTTCAGAGATGGTATAGGTTCTCCTGTTTAAGCAGGGGGCTGGACTAGAAGACCTCGAAGGCCCCTTCCAGCTCTGTTCTATTCAAGTTAATTAACTCTGTTTGTGTTTGCATATGGATTAGGTCTGGGGTTTGAGGAAGTTTGCTAGTTTGATTAACTCGGGAGACCCTGATTCTCAGACCCTTGTGGATTCTGTTCATATTCTAAGGGGAGATGGAAACCGTATAAAGAATGAAATATATTTGGAATATATAAAACTTCTCGCAATAATCTGGCGGGAAGTGGAGAGTGTGCTGTGATAGGTACCCATGTTTTGATTCAATTCCCTTGGAAACAAGTGTTAAAAATTCTGTTATTGTCATGGTGGTGGCTGCCATCTTGATTTTTGGACCCCTCTCCAGATATCTCACCACTCCAAACCTGATTCCAGAGAAATTTCTAGAGGGGATCCTAAGAAAACCAGTCTAACTTGATATGGACTTAATAACCTTATATTTTAAGATTAGGTAATTTCCCAGAGCGGCTGTTGGCGTAACCTGTTTGCATTCCAGCTAAGTGTCTCTTTCTTGAAGTGTCTGATTTGCAAGGTTGTGAAACATGGGTAGGATGGCATGACAAGAGCAGAGATTTATCTGGAAGATGAAACCGAAAGTAGCTTTACGAACAGTTACAAACCATGTGAATTCGGTTGTTGCATCGGCAGTGTGTTAAGAACGCAAAAAAGCAGAAACACTGAATCAAGCCTGCAAGTGGAGGCAATGGATAGACTAAGGATAATTGGGTAAAATTAATTACATTTGTTTGACAGGATTAAAACCCAAGGAAGCCAGTGTTTTAGACCCATTGCTAGCCTTTGTGAAACAAGCTAAACAAAAGCACACAAAGCAAGCCTCCAAATTAGGAAATGCTGTAAAACTGTATAAAAAAACTTTGTGCTCATCAAATCAGTTTGTCAGCTGTCCCAGAACTACCTGCTGTTGTTGGTTCTGCTCATCATTAAACCTTCTTTCCCAAGCAGTCAGCCTCCATTTTATTTCCAGTGTCTTACTCCCGGCTTGGAACTGAACTTGATTTTTTTTTCAGCAGCAGTCTTATAGTTTCCAAATGTTAGGATATTTTATTCCTACTTTATTCCACCCTGGTTGGACCCCAGTTTTTTTTTTCCAGTTTTGGTCATTGATCTTAAAGTATTCAGGCTGGGGAATTCTGGGAGTTGAAGTCCACCCACCTTAAAACATGGCTGCCTGGAGAATTCTGGGAGTTGAAGTCCACCCATCTTAAAACATGGCTGCCTGGAGAATTCTGGGAGTTGAAGTCCACCCATCTTAAAGCATTCTGGCTGGGGAATTCTGGGAGTTGAAATCCACCCATCTTAAAGCATTCTGGCCACGGAATTCTGGGAGTTGAAGTCCACCCATCTTAAATCATCCTAGCTAGGGGAATTCTTATTCTTTTCTTATTCTTCCCCTTCATCTTGACCCCTTCACCTTTTTTCATATATTTCTTTTGCAATCCAATCTTCATTCCTTCTCTTTTTTTAAAAAGACCAAGCTATGGATCAGTGGTGGCAAACCTATGGCACGGGTGCCAGAGGCGGCACTCAGAGCCCTCTCTGTGGGCACGCGTGCCGTCGCCCCAGTCCTAGGCCTTCAGCTGAGTTTTATAAAACCTTTTCGCTTTAGGCCTCTGCCGCCGTGTGCAAAAAAAAAAAAAAAGGTTCAATCAGTCAATTTCAACTTCTTGGGGAAAAAAAAAAGATCTTGCAAAGTTGGAATTGATTGATTGAACTTTTTAGTCCCACCCAGTCTGCCATTATCACCGCAGCCACACCCACCCAATGGGTCATGCCCACCCAATGGCCACATCCACCTGGCACTCAACGATGCATAAGTGGGTTTTGGGTTGCAGTTTGGCCACTCGGTCTCTAAAAGGTTCGCCATCACTGCTATGGATCTCCTAATTTAGAAAAGTTTAGAGGACCCCAACTGTTAGATTCTGACCTAAATTTGGCCTTGTATAGCTTCGCTTAATTAAGGACAATTAAGCCTATACCTTTTGCCAATAAAAAAAAGCAATACTTTCCTTAAATTGAAACTTCACCAGCCGTAATTAAGCTTATGGCTTTGATTTCCTGGCAGGAGTTCAGAAGCAGACATACTAATTGGAGCAATTTCAGATAGGTGAATTCAGGATTGCCATCAAACCGGGAGGAGAGGTGTGGAAGTATACCGTGTGAGTTTTAATAATGATATCTCTGTTTGTTTTGAATCAATTAAGAAAATAAGATTGGGTTAGAGGCAATATCCTGGAATATTGTCTCTGGAATATTGCCAAACAGAAGGATTCAGTCCAGTAAATTGTTCAGAGTCACTACATGAAATGGGTGGTTATATAATAATAATAATAATAAAGTTGGAGGGATCTTGGAGGTCATCTAGTCCAACCCCCTGCTCAGGCAGGAAACCCTAGACCATTTCAGACAAATGGCTGTCCTGTCTCTTCTTAATAACTTCCAGTGTTGGAGCATTCACCGCTTCTGGAGGCAGGTTGTTCCACTGGTTAATTGTTCTAACTGTCAGGAAGTTTCTCCTTAGTTCTAGGTTGCTTCTCTCCTTGATGAGTTTCCACCCGTTGCTTCTTGTCCTGCCTTCAGGCGCTTGACTCCCTCTTCTTTGTGGCAACCCCTGAGATAGTGGAAGGCTGCTATCATGTCACCCCTTACTTGTTTTCACATCTTCAACACAAGTCTTCTCTGTTCCACAACCAAAGTTCTCAAGGTTGGCCAAGGTCGCCTCAATCTAGACGAAGTGTCCTAACTCTTGACCGGTGTCTTTCCATGGAAGGTCCTCGGTGGGCTGAGGAACAACAAGGATCAGTGACCGGTCCTTAGATGGAGATGCTGTTCGCTACCTCAGAAGGGTTGAGATAATTGTACGGCAGCGAAAGGCGTCGGTTCCTCTCCTCGATTTCCCGGGAGATGTTGGCCAGACTTTTTTGGAACGTGGCGATGACCTTCTTTGGACCTTCCTCCGTGAAATGTTCCTCAGGGTAGTAGCCCAGAGATCTCTGGAAAGAGATTAAAGAAAACCATGGTGATGTCCCACCTTAGGAGATCTGGAGAACCATCTTCTTGAGAAGGGTTAGGAGAACCATCAACCCAAGGGAGATGTTTGGAGATCACGAGATGTGTCCCCTTTGGAGGCATATTGGAAAAGCTCAGAAGGATCTCCAACCCACACAACACACGTGCACATCTCAAACCCAAGAATGCACTAAGACAAAAGCTTGTCCACCCCAAGGACAAAACGCCCAGACACAAACTGAGCAACGTGGCATAGGCAGTACAAGGCAGTGAGCCGTGTGCAGATCCGTACATTGGGGAAACGAAACAACCACTTCACAAACGCGTGACGCAACATGGGAGAACAAAGCCATCAGGACCAGATTCAGCAGTCCATCTGCATTTAAAAGATGAAGGCCACTCTTTCGAAGACAGGAAAGTCCACATTTTGGACAGAGAGGACCTCTGGTTTGAAAGAGGGGTCAAAGAGGCCCATCTGGGTCAAAATTGAACAGCCTTCCCTCAACAGAGGGAGAGGGACACGACACCGTCTATCTCAAGTCTACAACACAATCCTTTCAGCAGTCCCAAGAAGGCTCCACACCCATTCGCACCACTCAGGGGACCCTGAGGACACATTGGGCTCTTTGATACCCAAACCATCATTCTCACCTTGTCTCCTCGTTCTCTGCTCAGGAGCCATAAGATGAGCAATGTCTGGCAGCTGGTGCTGACATCTGGCAAGGTCTCCATGATGTCGGCAAACGTCACACTTCCCTTGGATTCCGGGGGAGGCCTTCTCATGGTGGAAGGGTAGTTGGGCATCCAGGCTCCAAAATCAAACTGGGGAAAGATGGAAGTTGGAGGTTAGAGGCCCTTCAGAGGCAGGAGCATTGCTGGAATGCTGGAAAGGCAAGGTTTTAGAGTTCTTCCCTAGAGGAGGTCCAGAAAGGAGACCTCTGTTGGCTATCTGGGATGCTGGGGTGCTTTCTAAAAGTGCAACTTGTAGCTCCATCTCTGAAGTGTGGAAACAGCCAAGGAGCTCCATCTCCAAGCATGGAGTCATCTAAGAGCTTCATTTCCAAGCATGGAGACATCTAAGGAGCTTTATCTCCAAGCATGGAATCATCCAAGGAGCTCCAAGCATGGAGTCATCTAAGGAGCTTCATTTCCAAACATGGAGACATCTAAGGAGCTTCATCTCCAAGCATGGAATCATCCAAGGAGTTTCATCTCCAAGCATGGAAACATCTAAAGAGCATCTCCAAGCATGGAGACATCTAAGGAGCTTCATCTCCAAGCATGGAATCATCCAAGGAGCTTCATTTCCAAGCATGGAGACATCCAAGGAGCTCCAAGCATGGAATCATCCAAGGAGTTTCATCTCCAAGCATGGAAACATCTAAAGAGCATCTCCAAGCATGGAGACATCTAAGGAGCTTCATCTCCAAGCATGGAGACATCTAAGGAGCTTTATCTCCAAGCATGGAATCATCCAAGGAATTTCATCTCCAAGCATGGAAACATCTAAAGAGCTTCATCTCCATGCATGGAATCATCCAAGGAATTTCATCTCCAAGCATGGAAACATCTAAAGAGCTTCATCTCCAAGCATGGAGACATCTAAGGAGCTTCATCTCCAAGCATGGAGACATCTAAGGAGCTTCATCTCCAAGCATGGAGACATCTTAGGAGCTTTATCTCCAAGCATGAAATCATCCAAGGAATTTCATCTCCAAGCATGGAGACATCTAAAGAGCTTCATCTCCAAGCATGGAGACATCTAAGGAGCTTCATCTCCAAGCATGGAGACATCTAAGGAGCTTTATCTCCAAGCATGGAATCATCCAAGGAGCTTCATCTCCAAGTATGGAGATATCTAAGGAGCTTCATCTCCAAGCATGGAGTCAATGTTTATTAAACTCCTGCTTCATGCGTACGGTGAGATTTCCAGAAATCTGATATCATCTCGATATCTTGGTTTACCTTCCGTAATATCAAGCCAGCATGCGGAACATAGAGTTGGAGAAAAGGGGCAGATGGAGGGTCCAACCCACCTCCCATAGAGTTAAGGAAGAAGAAAAGAGGACCCTCCAAACCTGGGTATTGTTGACACTGGCATGGCGGGCTGAACAGGTGAAGACCATCATGGTCAGAAACTTGGTTAACTCAGCAATAGTTCCTAGATGTGCAGGAAAACCTGGAAGAATTAAAAAAAACACCAATTCGTGGGATGGGATTACTTATTTATTAAGAAAATTTATATGGCTGCCCAACTCATGTTGACTCCAGGAAAAAACCCTTAATGCAAGCCCGAAGACCCCCCTAACCCTCCTGGTGACAAGAACTGACCCAACCACTTGAAGGGGTCCGTATCACTTTGAGGTCCCTAGGCCCATTGTCAAAACCACATCTTCAGGGCCTTCAGAAAGAGTCTCAAGATGGGGGCCAATCTTATCTCCACATGGATGATGTTCCACAGGGAGGGAGCCACCACAGAGAAGGCCCTTCTGCTTGGTCCCACCAGATGGACTTCCTTAAGAGAGGGGACCCATAACATCTCCTGCCTCCCTGCCGTGGTGGGTTGGGTGGATGTAACTGGGAAAAGACGGTCCTTCAAATAATGGAGGGAGCCACCATGGAGAAGACCCTTCCTATTGGTCCCGCCAGATGGACTTCCTTAAGAGAGGGGACCCATAACACCTCCTGTCTCCCCATTCTGGTGGGTCACGTGGATGTAATTGGGAAAAGACGGTCCTTCAAATAATCTGGCCTTAAGCCATGTAGGGTTTCAAAGATGACAACTAGCACCTTGAATTGTACCTGGAAGCAGACAGGTAAATGATGCAGCTCCCGTAAGACAGGTGACATGTGCAAATCTAAGATTTGCATCTAACCATGCAATGATTGTGGTTTTTTTAATACACATTTTATTGGTTTTTTTAATTTTAACATCAAAGTGCTCAGGAAAACACCGTGGTGAAAGGGTAATCAATCATAACAAAACAAGTCATATATATATAACTAAAATTAATACCTTAAAAAAAAAATTCCCCCCTCTATTTCCTCACAGGATATAACAAATTGAGTTTAATCTATTTCTTCTTAAAATTCAATCAATCCACAGAATCATCCCTACTATTACATCTACATCAATCACTCCTGCTTTTAAGCTCCACTAATTTCAATTAAAATATTCCAATTGATCTTAAACAAACGTATTAATAAAATTTTGGGTATCCCTTCTACAACACACATAATATTCCAAGAATAACATTCTAATTTTTTCACACATATATTCCACCTCTTAATTTAATACATCATCAATTAATACCCTTTCTTCTCTTATCATAGAGCTCTCTAACAATGATTGTGTTTTGAACCAATCAAAACGTCCGGATCCTTTTGAAAAAGCCACCCCCGTGTCGAGGGAGGGTCTAAAACAGGGTTGTCCAATCTTGCCGACTTGTGGACTTCAACTCCCACAATTCCCCCTGCCAGCTCTTTTTTTTCTCCTTCACTTTGCTGAAGTCAAGGTATATTACGCCGACCGCATACCCGCTCTCTATTAAGAAAGTCATCCGATCGAATCAAGTGGCCCAATCATCACATTCGTCCGTTGTCCTATCCGCGCTGAATTCTGGTTGGGCCCCTTGCTAGGCTGGGGGATTCTGGGAGTTGAAGTCCACCAGCCTGACGGTTGCCAGGATCGGACACCCCCCCCCCCGGATCAAATTGCAGCGGGCAATTCTTGATTTCACCCCCTCGGTCGCAGGGAAGCCATGTTGGATTTGAGAGAAAAGGATTTTTACCAGAGGTTTGCCGGTGATGGAAACACTTTTCAAAGATTTCAGCCACCCAAGCCTGCAGCTCCATGTCCTTCTCCACAGCTCCGTCGCTTGGGTAATAGAGACCGACCATTCCAGACACAAAGCTGGGGGATCACAAGGGCCATCAATCCCGGGACACGAGAGAAAAGCTGGCATTTGCTAAGTGGCAGGAACTTCTGATAAACAAACGTACTGTGGAAAAGCTAAGAAGCCTTTAGGGCAGTGTTTCTCAACCTTGACAATTTTAAGGCAGGTGGACTTCAACTCCCAGAATTCCACAGCCGGCATTGCTGGCTGTGGAATTCTGGGAGTTGAAGTCCACATGCCTTAAAAATGTCAAGGTTGAGAAACACTGCTTTAGGGAAAAATTCTACCCGCTGCTAGGTATTCAACCCGAGCTATATTTAAATTCCTCGGGCTTTCTCTTGGGCCAGTCAATATTATTTTTCATTTATTAAATTTTTTTTAGAGCCCCCCCCATCTCAACCAATGGTGCCTAGTTTAACGAAGAGAAGGACGAGGGGGTGACGTGATAGCCGTGTTCCAACATCTCAGGGGTGGCCACGAAGGAGAGGGAGTCAAGCTATTCTCCAAAGGGCCAGAAGGACAGGACAAGAAGCAACGGATGGGAACTAACCAAGGAGAGAAGCAACCTGGAACTAAGGAGAAACTTCCTGATGGTGAGAACAATTAACCAGGGGAACCACCTGCCTCCAGAAGGTGTGAATGCTCCAACACTGGAAATTTTAATAAGAGGTTAGACAACCGTTTGTCTGAAATGGCCTAGGCGGATTTCCTGCCTGAGCAGGGGGTTGGACTAGAAGACCTCCATGGTCCCTTCCAACTCTGTTATTCTGTTATTCCTCCTCCATTCCATTCCATTCTATTCTATTCCTTTTTCTATTCTATTCCTTTTTCTATTCTATTCTATCTATCCCCATTCCATATTTTCTATTCTATTCTATTCTATTCTATTCTATTCTATTCTATTCTATTCTATTCTATTCTATTCTATTCTATTCCTTTTTCTATTCTATTCTATTCTATTATTCTATTCTATTCTATTCTATTCTATTCTATTCTATTCTATTGACTCTGCATGAATTAACTGCTCTTACCCACCAAGGCTTATGTTAATCATAGTTTAATAAAACAGACAAAATATAAACTGGGTTATCTGTTTTGGCTGTATTCAGCATTCCCCGCTCATTCTAAGAAACCACAAGTGCATCAAATATGTTTACTTATTTCATGCAAACCAAGATTTCTAATGCAGACATTATCTTGCAGGCGAGATACTATGGCCTGAATTCCCCTATAGCAGTGTCCTTCAATGTCAGCAGCTTAAGATGTGTGTACTTCCAACTCCCAGAATTCCCATGCTGGCTAGGGAATTCTGGGAGTTGAAGTCCAGCCATTTTAAAGCTGATAAGGTTGAAAAATACTGTCTTTAGATGCTGAATGATAGACACCCCTGATCAAGCCTGCAGTTCTGTAATTTGAGGAGGGGGTGCAGATAAACCTCGCCTGCCATATTCTCACACACCCCGATTGCCTTCTATGGGGAATAATACCTCTCTATAGCACTCCAGAGCTTCAACCCATCCTCCTTGTAGTAGTAGTTGGGCAATGAATCCACCCCTCTCTCCCGGAGGTCATCAGGGAGGCAGAGCATGGAGTAGGTCAGCTTCGAAAGGCCCCTGGCCACCAACTGCGACAGACCCTGGAAACCTGTGCCTAACATCTAGAAACGAAGGAAGGAAGGAAGGAAGGAAGGAAGAAAGAAAGAAAGAAAGAGAAAGAAAGAAAGAAGGAAGGAAAAAAGAAAGAAAGAAAGAAAGAAAGAAGAAAGAAAGAGAAAGAAAGAGAGAGAGAGAAAGAGAGAGATGGAAAGAAAGAAAGAAAAAGGAAAGGAAAGATGAAAGAAAAAGAAAGAAAGAAAGAAAGAAAAAGAAAAAGAGAGAGAAAGAAAGAAAGAAGAAAGAAAGGAAGAAAAAGAGAGAGAGAAAGAAAGAGAAAGAAAGAAAGAAAGAAAGGAAAGATGAAAGAAAAAGAAAGAGAGAGAGAAAGAAAGAAAGAAAGAAAGAAAGAGAAAGAAAGAAAGAAAGAAAAAAAGAAAAGCAAGGAAGAGGAAGGGGAAGGAAACAGGGAAAAAAGAAAAAAGGAAAAAATTATATAAAAAAGGAAAAGGAAGGAAGGAGGAACCGGAAAGGGGGAAGAAGAAAGAAAGAAAGAAAACAGAAAGAAAGAAAGAAAGAAAGAAAGAAAGAAAGAAAGAAAAGCAAGGAAGTGGAAGGGGAAGGGAACAGGGGAAAAAAAGGAAAAAGAAAAATATATAAAAAGGAAAAGGAAGAAAGGAAGGAGGAATGGGAAAGGGGAAGAAGAAAGAAAGAAGAAAGAAAGAAAAAGAGAGAGAGAGACGGAGAGAAAGAAAGAAAGAAAAAAGAATGAAAGAAAGAACAAAGAGAGAGTGAGAGAGAAAGAAAAGAAAAAGAAAGAAAGAAAGAAAGAGAAAGAAAGAAAGAAAGAAAGAAAGAAAGAAAGAAAGAACCAGCAGGGGAAGGAAAGGAAGGGGAAGAGAACAGAGAAAGAAAGAAAAAAAAGAAAAAGGAAAAGGAAAAGGAAGGAAGGAGGAGCGGGAAACGGGGAAGAAGAAAGAAGAGAGAGAGAGAGAGAGAGAGCGGAAGAAAGATCATATTTTTAGTACATCTTCATAAGAGGATTCCTGACCCATGTAGAAAAGGAGGAGTAGGCCTTTACTCATTGAGTAGTGCCTTCTATTTTCCATTTTTGGACTTCAACTCAGCCGCCAGACACCCCTCCTTCATATGCCAGCCCCACCAAATGCTCTTCCCCTCCCATAACATCACTGGAGCCCCCCCTGCCCCCGTTCCCTTCCCAGCTCTGACGTAGGTCCACCTTGGTGGCCCACCTCCTCCGAGATCAGGATGACCCAGAGTGAGGAGAAGTCATCCCTTACCTTGTCCAGCATCCCATCGGGGGCCAACAGGTGCGTCCGGCCAAGGATGTTGATATGCAGCGTGTAACGGAAGTGGGGGATTAACAACTGTGGACAAGTGACAAGGCGGGTCAGAGAAGACGTGAAGGAAGTTATGGAGTCTCTGGGAGATGTTCTCCTCCTCCTTGCTCTCCACGACCTCTTGAGGTCAACGGGGAGAAGATCAGAGAGGAGGAACTATCTCCTGCACCCCTTCTGAGAGTCCCTCAACTTCTAGAGATCTCTGGATGAGTCCCTGGAGATGTTCTGAGCAGGGGACAAGTCACGGCCATGACTCCCAAACTCCAGTGGACATCTGGGTCCTCTCCTGGCCAAGACCTTTGTTGACCGCCTCCTTGTGGCTGAAGCTCTCTCTCTCTCTCTCTCTCTCTGACCGACCTCCTCGGGCTTCCTCCCCCCCACAAAGACGCACCTTGTACACGGGGTGGCACTTGGGAAGCTGCCGGAGGGTGGCCAACAGGAAGGCCTCCACCAAGAGGTGTGTGTGAAGCAGGTGGGCCAGGATCTCATGGAGGTAAAGCGTGCTGTTGCGGACCCAGAACTTGGCCAGCGCCCAGTCCCACTCCGGATCCGTGGGGAGGAAAATGGGGCTCCTGGGCCCAGGTTGCTGAGTCAGCTGGAGCGAGAAGAAAGGAGCGAGATTCCTGTTATTTCAAAGGACCCTCTGGAGAACATAAAAGTTCTCTCTCTCTCTCTCTCTCTCTCTCTCTCTCTCTCTCTCTCTCTCTCTCTCTCTCTCTCCCATCCATCCATCCATCCATCCATCCATCCATCTATCTATCTACCTACCTACCTACCTACCTATCTATCCATCCCCCCCTCTCTCTCCATCCATCAATCTCATCTATCTATCTATCTATCTATCTATCTATCTATCTATCTATCTATCTATCTATCTATCCATCCATCCATCCATCCATCCCTATCTATCTATCTATCTATCTATCTATCTATCTATCCATCCATCCATCCCTCCATCCATCCATCCATCTATCTATCTATCCCTATCAATCAATCTGTCTGTCTGTCTGTCTGTCCGTCCGTCCGTCCGTCCGTCCGTCCATCCATCCATCCATCAATATCTATCTATCTATCTATACATCCATCCATCCATCCATCAATTATCTATCTATCTATCTATCTATCTATCTATCTATCTATCTATCTATCTATCTATCTATCTATCTATCTATCTATCTATCTATCTATCTATCTATCTATCTATCTATCTATCCATCCATCCATCCATCCATCCATCCATCTATCTATCCCTATCAATCAATCAATCTATCTGTCTGTCCGTCCGTCTGTCTGTCCGTCCGTCCGTCCGTCCGTCCGACCGACCGTCCGTCCGTCCGTCCGTCCGTCCATCCATCCATCCATCCATCCATCCATCAATATCTATCTATCTATCTATCTATCTATCTGTCTGTCTGTCTGTCTGTCTGTCTGTCTGTCTGTCTGTCTGTCTGTCTGTCTGTCTGTCTGTCTGTCTGTCTGTCTGTCTGTCTATCTATCTATCCATCCATCCATCCATCTCTATCCATCCATCCATCCCTCCATCCATCTCTATCCATCCATCCATCCATCCCTGTCTGTCTGTCTGTCTGTCTGTCTGTCTGTCTGTCTGTCTGTCTGTCTGTCTGTGAAGAAAAAGGGAGAAAGTTGGGCTCCTCACCTGAATGGCAATGGGCATCATCTCCTTCCAGGGGTTGAGGTGGAGGAGGCAGAGGGGAGCCGAGACGTACTGGGGGGACCCATTGATTGTGGTGGCTGGGAGACCCTCCAGGATCTGGCAGTCGATGAGGAAGACCCGGCCTTTCTGGAAGTCATGAGCAGAGCATGGGAATGGTGGGGGAGAAAGGTGGGGGAAGAGGCACCTGGAAAGACCACGCTACATTTCCCAGATGGAAGATGTGGACTCCTCTCCAAGTGCCCCCTACTTTGCCCTTCCTTCCTTCCTTCCTTCCTTCCTTCCTTCCTTCCTTCCTTCCTTCCTTCCTTCCTTCCTTCCTTCCTTCCTTCCTTCCTTCCTTCCTTCCTTCCTTCCTTCCACTGTTTACAATGAAGGACCCCAAGCCACCATCCTTGTGGAGATCCAATTAAATTCAGAGAACCTGGGAACTAGCCAGGATCCATACATTGGTTGCTACAGGGCGAAAGACCTCAGCTTGAGCTGGCTCTACCAAAATCAGCCTGGCACCAACTCTGGGGGATGAACAACAGCCTTCTCCTTTTCAACGAGGCAGTCCTGAAACTTGTTCCCCATAGAAAGGGGACCTCAAATGGGTCACCCAAAGACTCCTCCATTTGGGACTTCCTATCTCCGGGACTCCAAAATACCTTTTTGTTACCGTTCTGTAGTTAAGTGAAGGTCAAGGCCTTGGACTGGTTTAGGAAGGTCCTCCATAACCATGAAAGGACCCTGGAGGATTTTGAGGTGGGACTTCTCTTTCAACCCATCCCACCTCACAAGCTTGCTTTGGGGGGAAAGGAGTGGAGAGAGTATCAGATGGACTATCCGTGAAGCCTTCAGAAGCTTAGGGAGATGTTGGCTTCTCATCAGCTCTTGGCCACCAAACCTTCTCCAGAACGTCAACCAGTCATTCTTGGTAGAGCTGGTCTTGCCGTATGGCTGGTTTTAGTGTGTTCCTCATCTTACCTTCACCTCTTCCTCCAGGGTGGTCTCCAGTCCCAACGATTCGGCCACCATCTCTTGTGTGACCGGGAATTTGGCTGGAATCTCTGAGCATCGCTGGATGATCCCAGGGCTCGCCCCGTTGAGATATTGGTAGCCAAAAAAAGCATCTTCATCCCAATACTTGCTGACGTATTCTGGGGACACAGAAATGTCCTTGAAAAGGTCACCTGTCGGTCTGGTTTTCTGGGACAAGAAAGATCTGGTTGACTGTCCTACAGAACAATATTTCTAATTTTGGTTGCCTAGATACCATCCCTCCCACCTTGGCATTCCCTTCCACAACCTCTACTCTGGTTTTGGGTCAAGCTTGAGCAGGGGGCTGGACTAGAAGACCTCCATGGTCCCTTCCAGTTCTATTCTATTCTATTCTATTCTATTCTATTCTATTCTATTCTAGTCTAGTCTAGTCTAGTCTAGTCTAGTCTAGTCTAGTCTAGTCTAGTCTAGTCTATATTCTACTCTACTCTACTCTACTCTACTCTACTCTACTCTACTCTACTCTACTCTACTCTACTCTACTCTATTCTATTCTATTCTATTTCCTTTCTTTTTCTATTCTAATTCTATTTCCTTTCTATTCTATTCTATTCTATTCTATTCTATTCTATTCTATTCTATTCTATTCTATTCTATTCTATTCTATTCTATATTCCATTCCATTTCATTCCATTCCATATTTTCTATTCTATTCTATTCTATTCTTTCTATTCTATATTTTATTATTCTATTCTATTCTATTTGTTCTACTCTACTCTACTCTACTCTACTCTACTCTACTCTACTCTACTCTACTCTATTCTATTCTATTCTATTCTATAAGGTGTTTATAGGTATGGTTAAAAAAAATCACAAAGGCAGAAAATCAAAGTTCTTTGGGACTCTTTTAAGTCCCCCGCAGAGACCTTGCAAAGATGGCCTGGAGGGCAGACTGACCTGAAGTTGGGGTCCGATAAAACCAAAACGCCCTTCGGATGTCAGCTAACTTTCTCCAGGAGCCCTTGAGGTTCAACAACCCTTTTAGCTTCAACTCGATTTCCCTGGGGTTGAAAAAGGGAAGAATAAATGGAAGAGAAGCAGGTGAGAACAGAGAATAATAGGGCCTAATGGATAAAGAAAAGAACTTGGGGAGGGGGGAATGGAACTTTGATGTTATATATGTCGACGGCAGCAAGGTGACTTTAGGCACAAAAATGGAAGGACGTCGTGTCATAGGTGCCTTTTTTCCAAGAGGCAACTGGACTTTCTTGTTTAGCTTCTCATCCCGGAAGCTTCTTCGGCTCTGACTGGATGGTGGAGGAATGGAAGGATTTATACTCCTTGCAGACAGCTGGTCATTTGCCTTATTTTAGAGAGTCATTGAGGCCACTTGGAGGTTTATCTGAGTCCTCAGTTGTCCCAATGGTGCTTTTTCAAGAGGCAACTTTCTTGTTTTTTGAATAGAATAGAATAGAATAGGTAATAGAATTAGAATTAGAATTAGAATTAGGAATAGAATTAGAATTAGGAATAGAATTAGAATTAGAATTAGGAATAGAATTAGAATTAGAATTAGAATTAGAATTAGAATTAGGAATAGGAATAGGAATAGGAATAGAATTAGAATTAGAATTAGGAATAGAATTAGAATTAGAATTAGAATTAGGAATAGAATTAGAATTAGGAATAGAATTAGAATTAGGAATAGAATTAGAATTAGAATTAGGAATAGAATTAGAATTAGGAATAGAATTAGAATTAGAATTAGAATTAGAATTAGGAATAGAATTAGAATTAGAATTAGAATTAGAATTAGGAATAGAATTAGAATTAGGAATAGAATTAGAATTAGAATTAGAATTAGAATTAGAATTAGAATTAGGAATAGAATTAGAATTAGAATTAGGAATAGAATAGAATTAGAATTAGAATTAAAATTAGGAATAGAATTAGAATTAGGAATAGAATTAGAATTAGAATTAGAATTAGGAATAAATAGAATAGAATAGAATAGGTAATAGAATTAGAATAGGTAATAGAATTAGGAATAGAATTAGAATTAGGAATAGAATTAGAATTAGAATTAGGAATAAAATTAGGAATAGAATTAGAATTAGGAATAGAATTAGAATTAGAATTAGGAATAGAATTACAATTAGAATTAGGAATAGAATTAGAATTAGAATTAGGAATAGGAATAGAATTAGAATTAGAATTAAAATTAGGAATAGAATTAGAATTAGGAATAGAATTAGAATTAGGAATAGAATTAGAATTAGAAAGAATAAAATTAGAATTAGAATTAGGAATAGAATTAGGAATAGAATTAGAATTAGAATTAGAATTAGAATTAGGAATAGAATAGAATAGAATAGAATAGAATAGAATAGAATAACAGAGTTGGAAGGGACCTTGGAGGTCTTCTAGTCCAACCCCCTGCTCATTTACCTTATTCTACTGCACCAAAGGAGACGGAAATCAATACTCCCCCCCTTTTTTCCCTTCTACCCTACACTTTTCTCTCTTCCCCTTTTCCTCCCTTATTTTACCTTTATTTTCATTTTTATTTCTTTCTATTTTTGTAGGTTACGTTTCGGTCAATTATTAAATATTTCGAACCGAATAATAGAACATAGATAGAATAATAAGGTTGGAAGGGACCCTGGAGGCCATCTAGTCCAGCCCCCCTCGCTGTGGCGATTTGACAGAACCTTAATCGGGAAACCGATTAAACGGCGAAATAGAAGAAGGATTATTTTTTCTGGCCATAATTGAAGGATTCTTCCACTCTCCTCCTGATCCGTTTCCAATTTTTTACGTACGCGGCTTTCCGAAGGACGCGGAAGGAGCAGGATTTGATGCTGGAGTATTGATCGCTCAGGTGCAATTGGTCTACCGAATCAGCGTCGAGGCATTTGGGCCATCCGGGCTGATAATCTTTATACCTGTAGCAAAAAAAAAAAAAAAAAGACACCCCAAAAAGTTGCGGGTTAATAAAGAAGGGAATTTCTCCCCTTTTGAGATGTTTTCAATTCAGATACTTTGATTGATTTATTTTTTTTACCAGCACGGATAGAATCCAGATAACAGTCTTCCACTTATAATCGTTCATTTAGTGACTGTGGCGTGGGAAAAAAAGGGATTTATGATTTATGCGGCCCGCGAAGTGGTTCCATGTGGCCCGTGAAGCCATCCTGGAAACAGTGAGGGAACGGCCCCCGCTGCCTTGGCCCTGGTCCAAGCCGGCCAGGAGCCAATGTACAATTTTGTGGTGGCCATCTATGCTGAAATGCATAGGAACCAGCCCATGCCGTGTCGGCCCCACCCCCTGGGTGCATGCTGGGGAGGTGTCACCCTTTGTGAGGAATGAAGAAATGCACCATCGCCTGGAAGTGGCCAGCAAATGGCCCTCGCCTACTTCACATATCCGGCTTGATGGGCTCTGCCCTGGTCCCACCTCCTTCTGCCAGAGACCCTCAGATCTGTCCCACTCCTGCCCAGGCCCCCACAGGCACCCTTGACGCGAACGATGTAGAGCTGGCCACGCCCACCCAATAGTCCACACCCACTCCATCCACGCCCACCCAGTAGGCCGCACCCACCCGGCCCCCCGAGGGCAACCGCAATGCAGATGTGGCCCTCAATGAAATTGAGTTTGACACCCCTGAGCTAGACGTAACAATACTGGACCTAGCGTGGGAACCAAGGTTATCGAAATAAGAGATGATAAGAATTGGCCAGGCTGGAGAACGGGAGGGGAAGCCTACATTTCAAGCTAATTGGGGAAATGTGAATTACGACGGTCAATTGGAGGAGGGAATTGTGCTTGGATGCTTTGTGCTCAGGGGAGGGGAATTCAGATTTTGGCTTCGATTGTGTTAGTGCCGATGCTATGTTACTCAAAATAAAGATTCTTTAAGGTAAACAATGCCTTGAGGTTCTTTTGAAGAGTTTCATCCATCGGAACCGTGATAGTTGCAGTGTCCCCGTGGTCTGATGATCAAAATTCATGTCAGATGCTTGGCAACTGACATGTACTTGCGACAGTTGCTGTCTTCCAGGGGTCACGTGATCCCCTTTTGCGACCTCCTGACAAGCAAAGTCAAGGGGGAAGAAGAACTCACTTAACAACCCGTGTTACGAACTTAACAAGAGCCATGAAAGGTCATAAAATGGGGCAAAACCCACTTAACGACAGAAATTTTGAGCTCAGCCACGATCGGACGACGAGGACGACCTGTATGCCTGAAGACGGGGCCATTTTCTTCCTCCTTTATTTATATAATTCCCCCCCCACACACACTTCTCAATAAATTATTTTTTGTTCTTTGGTAGAAAAAGTGCGCTCTCCGATAGCACACCCAAGCAGCACAATGAAGCTCGTCGGGATGTCGCAAAGCGGGTCATCCACGTAACGGATTCATTTTTACAACTTTTTGCAGTCGTCATTAAGTGAAACCCGTTATAAGTCCTCGGCTTACGACCGTAATAAGGCCTGCCAGGAGGGTTTGTAAAGTGGGTCACCCACAGGACCGACTTGTTTTGACAATCCTTTTTTTTTTCAGTCGTCGTTAAGCGAACTTGTTTTTCGCTCTGCGGCTGCTTTGGCCAAAATTGGAAGTAAACACAAAAAGGTGTGTAAATTGTGGTCACCCGGGATGCGGCCAACAGCCATACATGCAAGCTAGGTAACTGAAATGCGATCATGTGACCGGGGGGGGGGAGAAACGCTGGCTGGGGAATTCTGGGAGTTGAAGTCCTCAGGTCTTCATGTTGCTTAGATTGAGGAAAAACGGCTTCGGATGATTAAATTACGCCTTCGTGTTTATTTATAAGGCAGGTAGCCTCCCCCCCCCTGGGGAAACACACCTATTGGGCTTCGGGCTGCTTCTGCAGAAGGCTTTGATTCTAACCCCCATCATATCTTAGCCAGAAACTGCTTTTAGGGTAACAGAAGTTACGAATGACGGCGTTTTACAAATCAAGCATCGACCAAATCTGTAGCTCGGTTCGAGACTTGCTTGCAAAAGCTGGATTTCGTGGGGAACTTTCTCGTGGCCTCAGGATTTCGAAATACCTGCCTTTGTTGATGTCTGAATGCAGGAAGGAGTGCTTTAAATTTATTCCTGAAGATTCACATCCTTTGACATGTCCGCACGGGGTGTTAGCATTTCCGATCAGCTGACTCACCTGTAGGCTTCCTGTTTTGCTAGCAGCTCGTACCTCCGATGTTCTAAGAGCAGTGGATTGCTGGCATCCAGGGGAGCAATTTTAGCTGCCAAAAGAGAAAAGGGGAAGAAAAAAAAAATTGGAATTATCGATAGATAGATACAGTGGTGGGATTCAGCCGGTTCGCACCACTTCGGCAGAACCGGTAGCTAATTTTGTGTCGCCCAGGCCCAGAATGGATTTCCGGAAGCGGCATCCACACAGAGAACCGGTTGTTCACCTATATGAATCCCACCATTGGATGGATAGATAGATAGATAGATAGATAGATAGATAGATAGATAGATAGATAGATAGATAGATAGATAGATAGATAGATAGATAGATAGATAGATAGATAGACAGACAGACAGACAGACAGACAGGCAGGCAGGCAGGCAGGCAGGCAGGCAGGCAGGCAGACATACAGACAGACAGACAGACAGATGGATAAATAGATAAATAGATAAATAGATGATAGATAGGTAGATAGATAGATATAGACAGACAGACAGATAGATAGATAGGTAAATGATATAGATAGATAGACAGACAGACAAATAGATAGATAAATAGATAAATAGATAGATGATAGATAGGTAGATAAATAGATATAGAGATAGACAGACAGACAGACAGACAGACAGACAGATAGATAGATAGGTAAATGATATAGACAGACAGACAGACAGATAATAAATAGGTAGGTAGGTAGACAGACAGACAGACAGACAGGCAGATAGATAGATAGATGATAGATAGGTAGGTAGGTAGGTAGGTAGATAGATAGATAGATAAATAAATAGATGATAGATAGATAGATAGATAGATAGATAGATAGATAGATAGATAGATAGATAGATAGAGGTAGATAGATAATAGATGATAGATAGATAGATAGATAGATAGATAGGTAGGTAGGTAGGTAGGTAGGTAGGTAGATAGATAGATAGATAGATAGATAGATAGATAGATAGATAGATAGATAGATAGATAGATAGATGGATGGATGGATGATAGGTAGGTAGGTAGGTAGGTAGGAGATAGATAGATAGATAGATAGATAGATAGATAGATAGATAGATAGATAGATAGATAACATTTATTGTCATTTTTTACTGTGGGCACAACGGCACACGTTAAAAATGAAATTTAGTCGCTTGATCTCAAAGTGTACACATACATAACACCCATTTAAACATACTATATACAACATATGTACATAGACCTACATCCTTACATATAAGTAACATATAAATATTAGTCACTGTCCAATTATTTGTAATTTATTTACTGTGCTGCCTGCCTTCTGCCCTGCCGAAGGAAGAGGAGATCAAAACATCTCTTTTTACAGTAAAGGCATAACTTGTGTCTGTAAAACACAGTTTTACGACCGTTTGAATTTACACAACGGCACTGAAAAAGGGACTTAACGACCGTGTTTCGCCCTTACGACCGTTGCTGCCTCAAACGGTCACAGAATCAAATGCTTGGCCACTGAACTCGTATTTATAACGCCTGCATTGTCCCCAGTCGTTTGACGCTTTGGAATAGCTGTTGCCGAAGGCAGAAATTCCACCGGGAAAGCCTTCTGCCTTTCTCAAAAAACTGATTGTCAACGGGGCTATCCTTGTAATATTTCTTATGATATTTGTATCGTTTGAATTGGGCTGGGATCTGCCAGCTGTCCGAGACTCCAACCGTGAGACAAGTGAGTGGCTGGGCAAATTTAATAAATCAAAGAATAAATTTCTCCACCGGAGAGACGAAATTATATCTGTGGATTCCTGTCTGACTTGTTTTAGGAGCTGGAGGCAATGCAAGGATACTTAACCACAATTTGTTTTCTAGGTTAACTGCAAAAACTCCGGAAGTTCTAGTTTTTACATTTCCTAATAAATCATCCCTGGATTTTGTAACTATTTTTACCTGCTAGGAAAGTGTGTCAAACTAAATGGGACAATACTGTGAAGCTGTTGGACTATTCACTATAAACACTGTTTTTCAAATTTGGCCACTTGAAGTCCTGTGGCTGGGGAATTCTGGGAGTTGAGATCCACAGGACTTCAAGGGGCCAACTTTGAAAAACAGAGCTCTACAGAGTCATATTCAGTTCTTCGTTGAATATTGGGTGAAGCTTCTGAGAACCTCACTCTACTGAGATGTTTCTCAAGTTTTGCAAGCTGAGCTCCATCCATCTTCCATGCTGGGAACTGAAGTTCACCCATCATCAAGCGGAAGTCTACTCATCTTCAAGCTGAAGGTCACGCATCTTCAATTCTGGGCATTGAAGTCCATCAACCTTCAAACTAAAGTCCATTCATCCAATTCTGGGAATTGAAGACCACCCATCTTCAATTCTGGGCATTGAAGTTCATCGACCTTCAAACTAAAGTCCATTCATCCAATTCTGGGAATTGAAGACCACCCATCTTCAATTCTGAACATTGAAGTTTATTCACCTTCAAACTAAAGTCCACTCATCCACTTCTGGAAATTGAAGAACTCCCATCTTCAATTCTGGGCATTGAAGTCCATCGATCTTCAAACTAAAGTCCACTCATCCACTTCTGGGAATTGGACCACCCATCTTCAATTCTGGGCATTGAAGTCCATCAACCTTCAAACTAAAGTCCATTCATCCACTTCTGGGAATTGAAGACCACCCATCATCAAGTTGAAGTCCACCCGCCTTCAATTCTGGGCACTGAAGACGGACTTCAATTTCATTTGGAGTTCTTCAACTGAAGAAGTTCTTCAATTCCCAGAATTGAAGGACTTCAATTTGATGATAGGGGCATTTTAATTCCCAGAATTGGGCAAGTGGACTTCAGTCTGAAGATGGGTGCCTGCCATTCCCAGAAAACCAAAACTAACTCCATCTTCAACTCATCTTCAAATCGAGGGTGGTCTTCGGTTTGAAGATGTGTTGAAGATGGAATTAGTCTTGGTCTTTTGGGAATTGAAGCCCACCCATCTACAGGTTGAAGTCCACTCATCCAATTCTCGGAATTGAAGCCCACCCATCTACAAGTTGAAGTCCACTCATCCAATTCTTGAAATTGAAGCCCACCCATCTACAAGTTGAAGCCCACTCATCCAATTCTTGGAATTGAAGCCCACTTATCTACAGGTTGAAGCCCACTCATCCAATTCTCAGAATTGAAGCCCACCCATCTACAAGTTGAAGTCCACTCATCCAATTCTGGGAATTGAAGCCCACCCATCTACAAGTTGAAGTCCACTCATCCAATTCTGGGAATTGAAGCCCACTCATCTACAGGTTAAAGCCCACTCATCCAATTCTCAGAATTGAAGCCCACCCATCTACAAGTTGAAGTCCACTCATCCAATTCTCAGAATTGAAGCCCACCCATCTACAAGTTGAAGTCCACTCATCCAGTTCCCGGAATTGAAGCCCGCCCATCTCTAGTCTGCCAAAATTGAGAAACAGTGTTCTAGGGCTTCCTTCAAGAAGCTTCATAGAAGATGGGAAGGTCTCACCTGTCCCTTCTCGGAGCTCAAAGGTGGGGTACCCTAGGATCCATTGGTAGCAAGGGAAACGGTGCGTCCGCCCCTCGGGGGTCTCTACTTCGATGAAGCTGCAATTCCAGTTGGTGGGCGGGAAGAAGCCGTAGGGCTCCTTATGGAGACGGACCAACAGAAGATTCCCCAACTCCATCTGGGTTTCCACCACGAATTCCTCTACCTGCAAAGCCAAAGAGGAAAGATTCAACGCATCTGGAGAGCAATTCCCATCCGTGCCCATCAATTATTGGCTGGAGATGGAGGGAGCTGGAAGCAAGGCAAGGCTGGAGGACCAGAAAGAAACTTTGGAACAAGTACAGAGAAGAGCAACAAAGGGCTGGAGACAAAAACATATGAAGAACGGTTGTAGGAATTGGGTTTGTCTAGTTTAATTAAAAGGAATGGGGGGGGGAAGATATGATAGCAGTGATCCAGTATCTCAGGGGCTTCCCCAAAGAAGAAGGAGTCAAGTTATTCTCCAAAGCACCAGAAGGCAGGACAAGAAACAACAGATGGAAACTCACCAAGGAGAGAAGCAACCTGGAATTAAGGAGAAACTTCTTAACAGTGAGGACAATCAACCAATGGAAGGGCCCTGGGAGGTCTTCTAGTCCAGCCCCCTGCTCAAGCAGGAGACCCTAGGAGCTGGAAGGGACCCTGGAGGTCTTCTAGTCCAAGATCCCTTCCAACTCTGTTTATTCTATTCTATTCTATTCTATTCTATTCTATTCTATTCTATTCTATTCTATTCTATTCTATTCTATTCTATTCTATTCTATTCCATTCCACTCCATTCCATTCTATTCTAATTTCTATTCCATTCTATTCTTTTTTCTCTTCTCTTCTCTTCTCTTCTCTTCTCTTCTCTTCTCTTCTCTTCTCTTCTCTTCTCTTCTATTCTATTCTATTCTATTCTATTCTATTCTATTCTATTCTGTAATTCTATTCTATTCTATTCTATTCTATTCTATTCTATTCTATTCCATTCCATTCCATTCTATTCTATTTTAATTTCTATTCTATTCTATTCTAATTTCTATTCTATTCTATTCTTATTTCTCTTCTCTTCTATTCTATATTTTCTATTCTATTCTATTTTAATTTCTATTCTATTCCATTCTTATTTCTATTCTATTCTATTCTATTCTATTCTATTCTATTCTATTCTATTCTATTCTATTCTATTCTATTACATTCCATTCTATTCTATTTTAATTTCTATTCTATTCTATTCTATTCTATTCTATTTTAATTTCTATTCTATTCTATTCTATTCTTATTTCTATTCTATTCTATTCTATTTTAATTTCTATTCTATTCCATTCTTATTTCTCTTCTCTTCTCTTCTCTTCTCTTCTCTTCTCTTCTCTTCTATTCTATTCTATTCTATTCTATTCTATTCTTTCCCCCCACAAAAGCAAACTAACCCAAATCCATCTAGCCTTCTCTTTGCTACGCAAGACGCAAGAACCTGCAACATTTGGCCGAGGTGACTTAATTTGAGGCCTCCTGTTTTCCACTGCAAAACCTGACTTATGGCTGAATTCCAGAATCTCTTTCCTAATCGCACGGAAGCTACTCAACTGGGAGAGAGACTTTGAGGCAGCGCTGTCTGTCAACACGCAAAAAACATCCTTTTCCATCTATTTTGCTTCCCCCCCCCCCTAGGAAATGCAGGAACGTGCATGAATCAAAGCTGGGATCCCGTCCAGCCTCCCACCTCCGCTTTTTTTTTAAAAAAAAACCCACGTTGCAGACTTAACTGGTGGAACCAGATTAAATTTCAGCGCAGATCTGGGCTAAAGAAGAGAGAAATTGCACCGTTCTTATGCTAAGGAGATTAAAAGTAAAAAAGAAAAGGCTTCAATTTAGGTATTGTGATCAGGTTAGTAAGGAGGCAGCAGGACTGAGTTTGCTCCTTATGGACCCCACTTTGTTTTGGGGAGCGGGTCCAGGGGGGAGAGTGGATTTCAGCCTCTATGCTGGCTGGGGAATTCTGGGAATTGAAGTCCACCCCTCTTCAAAAGGCCAAGGTTGAGGAACACGGAAATAATGCATTTTTTTTGCTACCATCTAGTGTGGCAAGATATGCAGATGATACCAGGGGCTGCCCCAAAGAAGAGGCAGTCAAGCTATTCTCCAAAGCGCCCGAAGGCAGGACAAGAAGCAACGTGTGGAAACTAACCAAGGAGAGAAGCAACCTGGAACTAAGGAGAAACTTCCTGACTGTTAGAACAATTAACCAGTGGAACCACCTGCCTCCAGAAGCGGTAAATGCTCCAACACTGGAGGTTTTTAAGAAGAGACTGGAAAGCCATTTGTCTGAAATGGAATAGGGTTTCCTGCCTGAGCAGGGGGTTGGACTAGAAGACCTCCAAGGTCCCTTCCTTCCTTCCTTCTCCAACACTGGACGTTTTTAAGAAGAGACTGGGCAGCCATTTCTCCGAAATGGTATAGGGTTTCCTGCCTGAGCAGGGGGTTGGACTAGATGACCTCCAAGGTCCCTTCCAACTTTATCATTATTATTATTATTATTATTATTATTATTATTATTATTATTATTATTATTATTATTATTATTATTATTATTATTATTATTATTATTATACCACTCTGATGGCAGAAAGTGAAGAGGAACGAAAGAGCCTCTTGATGTGGGTGAAGAAGGAGAGTGCAAAAGTGGGCTTGAAACTCAACCTTAAGAAAACCAAGATCACGGCATCCGTCCCTCTCAATTCCTGGCCAATAGATGGGGAAGAAATGGAGGTAGTGACAGATTTTATCTTCCTGGGCTCCAAGATCACCACAGATGGGGACTGCAGCCAAGAAATTAAAAGACGCTTGCTCCTGGGGAGGAAAGCTATGGCAAATCTAGACAGCGTACAAAAAAGCAGAGACATCACCCTGCCAAAAAAAGTGTGTATAGTCGAGGCCATGGTTTTCCCAGTTGCAATGTACGGCTGTGAAAGTTGGACCATAAGAAAGGCTGAGCGACAAAGAATGGAGGCCTTTGAACTCTGGTGCTGGAGAAGACTCCTGCGAGAAACTAACCAAGGAGAGAAGCAACCTAGAACTAAGGAGAAACTTCCTGACAGTTAGAACAATTAACCAGTGGAACCACCTGCCTCCAGAAGCGGTGAATGCTCCAACACTGGAGATTTTTAAGAAGAAACTGGACAGCCATATGTCCGAAATGGTGCAGGGTTTCCTGCCTGAGCAGGGGGTTGGACTAGATGACCTCCAAGGTGCCTTCCAAGTTTTTTATTATTATTTTTCTGAAATGGTATAGGGTTTCCTGCCTGAGCAGGGGGCTGGACTAGATGACCTCCAAGGTCCCTTCCAAGGTTTTTATTATTATTTGTCTGAAATGGTAATAGGGTTTCCTGACTGAGCAGGGGGCTGGACTAGATGACCTCCAAGGTCCCTTCCAACTTTTTTATTATTATTTGAAATGGTAATAGGGTTTCCTGACTGAGCAGGGGGCTGGACTAGATGACCTCCAAGGTCCCTTCCAACTTTTTTATTATTATTTGTCTGAAATGGTAATAGGGTTTCCTGCCTGAGCAGGGGGCTGGACTAGATGACCTCCAAGGTCCCTTCCAACTTTATTATTATTATTATTATTATTATTATTATTATTATTATTATTATTAACCAGTCAGTGCTAGAGGAGATCAACCCCGACTGCTCTTTAGAAGGCCAGATCCTGAAGTTGAAACTCAAATATTTTGGCCACCTAAGGAGAAGGAAGGACTCACTGGAGAAGAGCCTGATGCTGGGAAAGATGGAGGGCAACAGAAGAAGGGGACAACGGAGAAGGAGGTAGCTGGATGGATGGAGTCACTGAAGCAGTAGGTGTGAGCTTAAAGCAGTGGTTCTCAACCTTTTTAATGCCGCGACCCCAACCGGTCGTAAGTCGAGGACTAAACTGGTCGTAAGTCGAGGACTACCCAACCGGTCATAAGTCGAGGACTTTCCCTGCCCGGGAGCGCCGCACATGCGTGGTTCCGCCCCCTGCGCCGGCCGAGGCGTAGCTGGCAAGCGGCAGAGACGGAGCAGGCCGACCACCAGCTGGCCCAGCCCAAGGGAGGTAAGGCACCCACCGGAAGAGGGGAAAAAAATGGCGGACAAAAAAAAATGGCGGACAGCCTTGCTTGGCAACCCCCATGAAATGGTCGATCGACCCCAAATGGGGTCCCGACCCACAGGTTGAGAACCACTGGCTTAAAGGGACTCCAGAAGATGGTGGAGGGCAAGAAGGCCTGGAGGAACGTGGTCCATGGGGTCGCGATGGGTCAGACACGACTTCGCAACTAACAACAACAACAAGTGTCGCAAAGGATAATCTTAATCTCTTCCTCTGGCAGATTTCCCTGCCGGCCTGCAGGAAGGTGGCAGAGGAAGATGGGAGCTGTAGTGACAGCTGGAGGCTCCCAGGCGGTCTCTCCTATTGGTCAACTCCCCAGCACTTACTTCTCCCGGAGAGAAATCTTTGCCGAATTTATCCAGGTGAAACTTGGGCGTCTCCCCGTGAGCGCCCACCAAGGAGATGGAGATGGTGTCCATGGTGCCACCGAAGAGGTAGTTGCCGGTGGCCACTCGGATTTTGTAGGTGGCGGTGGGGGCGGCTGCCATGCTGGACGGTGACCCTGATGGAGACAAAGGCAAAAGGGAAAGAAAGAAAGAAAATAAGGAAGGAAGGAAGGAGAAAGAGAAAGAGAAATAAATAACAAAGAAAGAAAGAAAGAAAGAAAGAAAGAAAGAAAGAAGGGAAGGAAGGAAGGAAGGAAGGAAGGAAGGAAGGAAGGAAAGATGAAAGAAAGAAAGGAGAGTGAATGAAAGAAAGAAAAAAGAAAGGGAGAAAGAAAGAAAGAGAAAGAAAGAAAAAAGGAAGGAAGGAAGGAAAGAAAGAGAGAAAGAAAAGAGAAAGAAAGAAGGAAAGGAAAGAAAGGAGAGAGAATGAAAGAAAGAAAGAAAAAAGAAAGAGAGAGAAAGAGAGAGAAAGAAAAAAGGAAGGAAGGAAAGAAAGAAAGAAAGAGAGAAAGGAGAGATGAAAGAAAGAAAGGAAAGAAAGGAGAGATGAAAGAAAAAAGAGGAAGGAAGGAAGGGAAAAAGAGAGAGAAAGAAAGGAGAGATGAAAGAAAGAAAGAAAGGAAAGAAAGAGATGAAAGAAAAGAAAGAAAAAAGAGGAAGGAAGGAAAGAAAGAAAAGATGAAAGAAAAGAAAGAGAGAAAGAAAGAAAAGGGAGAAAGAAAGAAAGAAAGAAATGAAGAAAGAAAGAAAGAAAGAAAAGGGAGAGAGAGAATGAAAGAAAGAAAAAAGAGAGATAAAGAAAAAAGGAAGGAAGGAAAGAAAGAAAGGAGAGATGAAAGAAATTAAAGAAAAAGAAAGAAAAAAAGAAAAGAGGGAATGAGAAAAAGAAAGAAAGAAAGAAAGGAAAGAAAAGAGATGAAAGAAAAGAAAGAAAGAAAGAAAAAGAAAAGAAAGGAAGGAAGGAAAAAAAGGAGAGAGAAAGAAATAGAGAGAAAGAAGGAAGGAAGGAAGGAAGGAAGGAGATGAAAGAAAGAAAAGAAAGAAAAAAGAAAAGAGGGAAAGAGAGAGAAAGAGAAAGAAAGAAAGAAAAAAAGAAAGGAGAGATGAAAGAAAAAAGAAAAGAAAAAGAAAGAAAGAAAGAAAAGAGAAAGAAAAGAAAGAAAAGAGAGAAAGAAAGAAAGAAAGAAAGAAAGAAAGAAAGAAAGAAAGAAAGAAAGAAAGAAAGAAAGAAAGAAAAATTGGCACCAAAGTCTAGCCTTCTTTCAGCTCCAGGAATTCCTCCCTACAGTCCGGGGAACCCGTCCGTCCAGCTGCCGCTGTGCCTCGGAGGGGGGGGGGGAGCCTGCGAGGCCCGGCTGTCCTGGTCCCGGGGCTGTTTGGGGGGGGCCTCCCTCCTTCACCCCACCTTTCCACCTCCAGTGAGGGCTCCCCGGCGCCCAAGAAGGGCACAAGGCGAAGGCAACCGACGAATGCTGGAAGAAACAGGTGCCAGCCTAGCTAAAAGACTGCTAAGTACTTCCTACCGTATGAAATCATCCAGGCGGGAGGGTGCCCTGGAGGTCATTTAGCCCAACCCTCTGCTCGGTGCGTGAGTTTCAGCGACGGAAGCCGGCTCTCACAGACAGTGACTCGTTGCCTCAAGGATCTCCAAGTGTCCACCTTCTCATGGGGGCAGCCCGGACTGCCCTGAGCGGGGCAGGCCGTCCTTGACTTACGACCGCAAGTGGCTAAACAAGGCGGTTGTTAAGTGAGCCAGCCCGTTTTTACAAACTCTTTTGCCGTCGTTGTTAAGCAAGGCACGGGCTTAAGCGTCGCCTCGTGGGGGAGGTGGGGGCGGCATAAACCTTTAATGAATTTTTAAAAAATAGAAAGGAATCGCCCGGTCATAAAGTGAATCTGGCTGGTAATTGTAACCACGTGACCCGAGGATGCTACCACGGTCGTAAGTGCAAGGACTGTGTGTAAATCAGCTTTTTCAGTGCTGTTAAAACTTGGAACGGGCACTAAAGGGATGATTGCATGTTGAGGACTAGCAACATGAAATTTCTCCTAATTAAATTCCTGAGATGGTGTAGGTTCTCCTGCTTGAGCAGGGGGCTGGACTAGAAGACCTCCAAGGTCCCTTCTATTCTATTCTATTCTATTCTATTCTATTCTATTCTATTATTTCTTATTCTGTTCTGTATTTTATTCTGTTCTCCTATTTCTCTTCTTTTCTCTTCTATTCTGTTATTTCTTTTTCTATTCTTTATTTTATTCTCTTCTCCTATTTCTCTTCTCTTCTAAATTCTATTCTATTCTATTCTATTCTATTCTATTCTATTCTATTATTTCTTTTTCTATTCTGTAATTTATTCTCTTCTCTTCTCTTCTGTTATTTCTTATTCTGTTCTATATTTTATTCTATTCTCCTATTTCTCTTCTTTTCTCTTCTAATTTGTTATTTCTTTTTCTATTCTGTATTTTATTCTCTTCTCCTATTTCTCTTCTCTTCTAAATTTCTCTTCTCTTCTCTTCTCTTCTCTTCTCTTCTCTTCTCTTCTCTTCTCTTCTATTCTATTCTATTCTATTCTATTCTTCCCACAATCTCTTCGTCTGCTGGTGTTTCCACATTCTTCCAGTGCGGAGCAAATACCATCCTCGCCGCTGTTAGTACACGCAATGTTAAATACACACTTTGCTTATCAGATTCCTCTGGTATTACACCTAGTAAAAAAAAATAATTCAGGTTTAAAATCTATGTGTTTTCCTAGGGAATAAATAGCACGACTGTGAAGGGATGATTAGCAAGTACTTTAAATGCCCAGCCAAGGAACCCAGCAGGGCGGGCCCTGGAAGAATTAATCAAGGCTCCGCAAGGCCATACCTTTGATTTCCTGCTCCAGGATATAATTTAAAAACAATTTAAAACCAAGTTTAATTGAAGACTTCAGCCAGAGAGGCAGTCTCTCTCTCTCTCTCTCTCTCTCTTTCTCTCTCCAGCTGTTGGGTTTTAAAGAGCAGCCTTAAATCCCAACCAGCTGCTGGGTGAATTAACCAGTGGAACCACCTGCCTCCAGAAGTTGTGAATGCTCCAACAATGGAAGTTTTAAAGAAGAGACTGGACAGCCATTTTACTGAAATGGAATAGGGTCTCCTGCTTAAGCAGGGGGTTGGACTAGAAGACCTCCAAGGTTCCCTCAACTCTGTTATTCTATTCTATTCTATTCTATTCTATTCTATTCTATTCTATTCTATTCTATTCTATTCTATATTTCTGATTCCTATTCTATTCTATTCTATTCTATATTTCTGATTCCTATTCTATTCTATTCTATTCTATTCTATTCTATTCTATTCTATTCTATTCTATTCTATTCTATTCTATTCTCATTTCATACTTTCTATTCTATTCTATTCTATTCTATTCTATTCTATTCTATTCTATTCCCATTTCATATTTTCTATTCTATTCTATTCTATTCTATTCTATTCTATTCTATTCTATTCTATTCTATTCCCATTTCATATATTCTATTCTATTCTATTCTATTCTATTCTATTCTATTCTATTCTATTGCTTGGATCCTTGGCAAAGGGCACGCTGGGTTAAAGAAAATTGCTGTGAATTGCAGCTTACAAGACCAGGGTTATAACTAGCCAAGGTTTGTGTGCTGCATGCAGGCAGCTGCTGAGTTGAGTTGGCATTACAAAAACCCATTTGCATCACCTATTGGTATAAAATTGCTGTTTAGGCAACCGGTGGATTTGCTTCTTTGTAATTACCTGGTCCTGCTCTGCTGGCTGTCTGTAAAGGACATCCCCACCTGTTGGGTTTTAAATGTAGGTCGGTAAGGGATGATGGGCGTTGTTATCCATCACAGCCTGAGGTCCCCAGATAGGGAGAGGCTTGTAAAAAATCTATGCAAGTCTCTAATGCTTTGGAGAAGGAGAACGTGAAGGACATCTGGAGAGATCCTGTGGCAATTTCCAGAATGGGGGAACTTGTGAATTTAACCTCCCCGGGTTCAAGAGGAGCGATTTAATATTTTGGGTGCTTTGGGTTTGTCTCAGCTCAGCCTACCTTACAGGGATGTGGTGCTGGGAGGCAGCACTATCAAGGCCATCTTAAACTTCAGAATTAAGTAACAGAATAACAGCATTGGAAGGGGCCTTGGAGGTCTTCTAGTCCAACCCCCTGCTCCGGCAGGAAACCCTATCCTGTTTCCGACAAATGGTTGTCCAGTTTCTCCTTAAAAATCTCAGTATTGGAGAACCTACAACTTCTGGTGGGAAGCTGTTCCACTGGTTAATTGTTCTTACTGTCAGGAAGTTTCTCCTTAGTTCCAGGTTGCTTCTCTCCTTGATGAGTTCCCATCCGTTGCTTCTTCTCCTGCCTTCAGGCGCTTTGGGGAATAGCTTGACTCCCTCTTCTTTGGGGCAGCCCCTGAGATACTGGAACTCTGCTCTCATGTCACCCCTCATCCTCCTTTTCATTAAACTAGACATACCCAATTCCTGCCACCGTTCTTTGTGTGTACCTCCAAGGTCCCTTCCAGCTCTATTCTGATTGATTGATTGATTGATTGGAATATACTGTGTAGAACAGTCCAGTGCACATATTCTGGAGACACAGAGAGAGAAGATCTCCGAGGATGATCTCCAGTATGAGACTGAAAACTTGGAAGGATAAATCTTCGGTCCCGGTGACCGACTCAGATTGGATACGGCCACATTATTCTGGGGACACGTATATTTATCATCTCCTCCTTTTACGCCACTCCGATGGCGGGCTCTTGAAGGACAAGAACTTTGCAAGTTCTCCAACTCTTCTGATCTCCCCAGCCTTCCTTCGTGTCCTCACTCCAAATGGCCAGAAAAAACAAACAAACAGGAGGAAACTCTTAATTCTCACGAGCCTTGGTCTTCCTTGCCTCCCCGTAGGAAAGCCAGTCCTGGATATCGTTGGAAGAAAAACCAGGTCCAGTTCCAAGCTGGGAGAAAGGTACTGAAATAAAATGGAGGCAGGCTGCAGGAAAGGAGGTCTCTGTTTATTTGGTAGCCAGAGACTTCAGTGACAGCCGGGAGGAAGACGCTGAAATAAAATGGAGGCAGGCTGCAGG